AGATTTCCGGTGGCTTTGGTTGGATGTGAAGTACTGACTTTAGAACTCGAACAACAAGATCCATAAATACCATAGTCTTAGGCATGGATCATATTTAATTAAAGTAAATTTAAATTAATATGATCTTCCTGAATGTTGTTATACCTTTATCTATATGCTCACAAAGTCTGAATGTCTACTTTGTGTTTAGCTTTTGTAAAAACCGGTGAAGACGGTCATGCAGAAGTTGGCTTAAATGCATTTAAGAAGGTTTTTTCTCTTTTTTTGGAAGGGTTGTATGCAAGTGTGCACAAACTGCTGGGTGCGTGTGTTTGTGTGCGCGTGTGAGTCGCTGTAGCTGTTATCACTGTGACGAAGCACAGTGACAGAACTCTGGCCATCTGGAGAAAGATGACGGTATGAATCACTAGAGAGGAGGACGAAGGAAGAAAAGACGAGGTGGTGAGGGAGGAGAGAAGGAGAAGGAGAGATGGCAAGACAGACAGAGGAGCAGGTTGACACAGCGGCAGGTGAGTGGGGAAGTAACAGTGCTCGTGAGGAGGGGGGCACTGGCATCATCTGAGAGCTGTGTGCACACACGCGCGTGACAGATACGTGCACGCCGGGGCACGTGCACAAACAGCCTCTCTGTGGCACTTTCTGAACTAGCTAAAGACCTGCTTGTCATCACTTTAGTCTAATCATCCTCGAGTGAATGGGGGTGGCAGCTCACAAACTCATCCAACCTCACACATACACGTGCCCACAAGCTTTCTTACAAGCTGTTAGTTGTTGAAATAGGAGTCTGCTTGATGCCTGATAAGAAAATGAACCCTCTAAATAGATAATTTACTGAAGAAAAAGGAAATCACCAGGCACTCAAAAGGCACAGAAACATAGGGCCCAGATTATCTCTCAGCTGGTGTAAGCTTATCCTCCATCTACTCCAACAGTTGCATCCTCTGTCTGCCTCTTATTTCCCCTCAAAGCCAGTTCTTGCCTGCTGTTTTTTTTTCCCTTAGTGGGACCTCTTCTTCTTCTTCATCTCGACCACCGCGCACTCTCTCTCACCCTCAACTACACAGCTTCCCCCCGCCTCTGTTCAAGTCAAGCAATAAACATCTGGTTTGCATTCCAACCATTTCTCAGTTTTGAGTAACTTGATCATGTCATCTGTTCCCTCCTTTTCATTTTGCTCAACGGCGAATGTGGAGAGCAGATGGGAGAACGGGAAGCAGCGGAGCGTGCAGATAGAAGAGGATTTTGAAATTGAGAGTTGCAGGCAGACAGGTGAGAGCGAGGTGAGAAACAAAAGGGGGAAGCAGGATGCACGCGCATTCGCTGGGAGGAAAATTGGGACACTTGTCTAAGCCGACACAGCTGAGCAGAAGCCAAAGCTCAATTTTCACATGGCCATGGTTTCTGATTGTTTTAGCTTGATACACTATCTCAGCAAATAATAAATGTGCATGATGCATAAACTGTATATAAAAGACACTGTTGCCATCTTGGTATTTTAAACCCAAGCATGACAAAAGAGCCGTAAAGCACACCTCCTTTACAGTCCTTTTTTTAAACTAGAATTGGGACAATAATTTATGAAATGAATACCATGCTACATTCGAGTCGACTGATGACAAAGACCAACATTTTTTTTTTAGAAAGGTTATACTGAGGGGATGGATCAAGAGAGGATATAGAGGTCTTCATAACTGATTGCCTTTAAGCAAACACCCCATGTTGGAGGTGAGAAAGTAGTGAAATTTAAGGGCTCTTCTCATTGGATTCACTTTTGAGACGTGAAAGCTAAGTCCATCTTTTATGTGCAGTCTGTGACATGATTGCTGTTGAACTTGCTTACGAAATCTAAATCCAATATAAAACCAGAAGAAGAGCAAAACCCTTGTGGTGTGATCCTGTCAGTTGGGAGGAGGGAGGGGGTGGGGTCTGAGGTTAACTGAGAGTTTAAAGCTGTGGGGAAAATAAATGTTGGACAAGTTCAAGTGTTGACTTTTGAAGCCAGCAAATCCTTTATCGATGGTGTACTATGGGGAGCTGTCCATGGTGCTGGAGAGAATTTCCACTGTGTAGCCGATAGGGCGGCACCTGTTGCTGTCCTAGGTGCTGAAAAAAGTCACCTTACAGTCAGTTCTGTAGCTCCCCTTGTGTCAAGTGAGGTGAATTCAAGAATTGTACTTATTTAAAATGAGATTTAAAATGAGATATACTGTCTTAGGAGACAGATTTCACTGCTGCCGGATTTGATCAATTGCGAATTTAACTATTTTTTTCATACTTTAAACTTTTAAAGGGCTTCTTTGTTTCTAGTAGGATTTAAAACGAATATACTCGAGTTTGTGTGAAATGTTCTTGGACGTGAGAGAAAATAGTAAAGACTTGATCAAGGTTAACAAGGCTCTATTTCTTGGACTTCTTGGACTTCTTGGACTGGCCACATAAACATACTCTTCCACGCCAGACGCACACACACAGCCCGTCTCTTTCTTCAGGAGCCTCATGCGAATCCAAGCAAATATCATCAAGTAAAAAATAAATAAATAAAATAAAATAAAGGAGATAAAAAGGAAAGGAGCATCAAGCCCTCCAGTCCTCATAACATTACTGCAAGTTGCATCATGAGCACAACGCCGTGCTTTATATAAAGGAGAGCACGACAGAGCGTGATCTGGCGTGTAAATGGACATGCTGAGAGGCTGTCTCATGCGCCGCTGACGAATGATAATACCGCTGGACTTGGAGTTAAGAAAGCCGAAAACGCTCCCCGGATAGGAGAGGACACGTCATCCTCGATTCCCCTTCCCCTCCATCCCCGGCCTTTGCATTCCCTGCCCTGGTCTTTCAAATGAATGGAGGCTGATAACTGTTTATTGAGCGGCGGGTCCAGTGGGGACAGCTGCTTTTGATCCCTTGTAGACAGCGCGCGGTTCTATTCATTTTTTTCTTTTTTCTTTTCTTATTTATTATAATCAGAAACCTTTCACACGTCTCTATCTTTGTCTCTAACGGCCCCTGGGATCGATACTGATATTAGTACAGTAAAGAAAGTCCGCTTGATCCACTAAGACGGCGTAAAAGAGCCTAAGAATGGCTGTCACACACAGCCTGTAACGGAATCGTTAGCACTTTCGTATACGCGTGTGTATATATGAGCCACACTTGATAAAAGTATGTGGAGACAGAAACGCCAGGAACTCCAAGTCTCCTCTTCCCCACTCCCCCGCTCCGCCCCTCAGCATAGTGTGAGGCTCTGGTGCCGCTCAATGGGAGGATGGGGCAACTGCTGGTGGCTGCAGCACCGAGGGATGTAGCAGACCACCTCAACGCGTGGTGAGTCAAACATATTTATCGACAGCGTTTAAAGTAAAGGTTGTTATACAGTGGGTGGGCGGCTAGATGGATAGTCTAGTCCCCTCTGCTCTTCGTAAATATGTGCGATAAGTTCAAGTCGCTTTATCGGCTCCAAAAGTAGAGCCAAACGGCAAGAAAGTGGGCAATAAAGAGCTCCCAGGGCGCAAATAAAACAAGCAGTCTCCTCCGAATATAGCTGCATTGAGATTTACTCCACGGGAGAGTCGAGGGAGATTTGTCACTATCATTAGGAGCTGAACTGAGTGTGTGATAAAGCTACGCCTTACCGGCGCTGAAACACGTTTTCTTTTCTTTCTTTTTTTTTTTTAAATTTTATTTTAAATGTTGGGTGGTTGATGACACAAGTTGGAGCAAAAGGTGGGTGACAGAGTGGGAGTTATTTTGGTGGGAGGATTTGAGGGTGACGCTCAACCTCAAAGCACACTTTCGCACTTTTCACACATCGTGAAATCGCACGGCCCACTGTGTGTGCGAGCGTGTGTGTGAGTGTGTGCGCTTATGGTGATGCCGAAAATGTGTCTATTTCCACTCACTTGTGGATTATGAGCCGTCCAAAAAAGGCATGAGTGGGCTAACACAGAGCAATGACTCACTGTCAAATTCATATTGTGGCCATGGCAGTATTCTTGGCTTTTGCTAAAAATAGTGTCCATTCTCTGGTAGGGAGCCAAGACAGTGATAAAACGGTTGGCTTTCTTTGCCAAAGGACCTGCTCGGGACGGCAAAAATCATTGCGGCTCTTCCCCGAAACACCCTGAGCTCTAAATATGCTTTTCGTAACATGTCTCATAGAAGAAGAAGAAGAAGAAGAAGAAGAAGATTACTTGTAACAGAGCCTCACATTTCAGGAAGACATCAGAACTGGACGTGGAAGTAAATTATTAGTAATGATAATCTGTTGAATGCGCGGGCTCCGGTTGCAAGATTTCCATTTGAAATTAATCAAGGGCAGAAAACCCAAAGTAAGTTAATTAGGCCTGCCTCCCCATGCATGCACGACAACAGATAGAAACTACACGCAAAATTTGTTTATGGGTGGTTGCTTCACAAGTTAAGAATGCTTGTGGATGCGATGAGGAAGAACCGAGAAGAAGCAGTCCCAAAGAAGAGCATGACCCACAGTGCGCCCGCGCACACGTGCACGCACGCACACGCACACACCTTTTGGACTGAACAGCATCACAATCAGCCGCCCGCTCGACCACCTCGGTGGATTTCCTCATGCATGCAGCACATGCTGCACTAACAGCGAGGGTTTCGTGTGAAGCCCTCATTCACTCGGCGTCAGTACGTCCATGCAGCACATTTAACGCTCCCCTCCTGTTTTTAACAAAATACCCAGCTTTGCTCAGTCCTTTAACGAAACCCATCAATAGAGTGAAGGATGGAAGCTCGAAACTCGATCCGCTTGTCACGAAAATAGCCACCCAACCAGCCACCTATAATAACTTTGTGAGGTGGAAGAGCAACATCGGAGCGAGCCTGATCCTAAATGCGCCTTTAGGATGAGCGTGTGCCTGCTGATACTGATTTGCATTCAGTCAGGGATTGGGAAAGGGTGGGCGGTGGAGGGGGGTGGGGGTAAGCCTGCTGCATTTTGCATGTCTTCAGCTCTAAAGATGGGGACTTACCCTTTACTGAGGCGACCAGCAGCCCCATATATAAGAACAGCATCCGGCTCCAATGGTGCGCCTGCACTCCCGCCTTCATTAGAGCAAAAATCCGTATTCCGTCCACTTTCCTGCCTGCGCATTCCGGTCTCCTGAAAAGTCCCGTTGCTCCGTCCTGATTTGAAGCGGCGGTCATGGCAGGGCTTTTTCTCTGGTCTGGCAGGCACGACGAGTTTTCAAACGGTCAGAAAAGGGAGATTCACTCGGTGTCGGCGCTGAGAAAAATCCCAATGCATGGAGGAGGCTCGGAGCTCGCAGCTGGACTGAACCATGTCATGCGGGGACCGAGGGGTTCAGAGTCTCTGTCTGAGAAGATAGATTTCACACCTAAAGGAGGGGAAAGAAGAGGGGAAGGCAAACCAAAGGGGGGACGCGATTCAAGTGGTCAGTGATCTGCCCAGCACGAGTAAAAATCACAAAAGAACCCTCGCCAGCTCCACGCATATAACTGAGATTACCAGATACACGTCAAGAGAAAAAAAAAGAAATCAGGAGATTCCTCCTCTAGTTTCTCCGGGAACACTTACTTGTCCTTCTGTCTAATTTATCTCCAGTTAATAAGAGCATCTACGGTGCCAGTAATCCACGCTTTAAGTCGACATGAGACCGAAATTCAGAGGAAGGATGAACGAACTGGTTAGAACCACGGAGGATATCCGGATCAGAGAAAGATTGCCTGGTTTGAGAAGTTTTCAACCAACGCCGGAGTGTGGTCAGCGATCTTATTGTACATAGAGAAATATGCAGTATGTATTCCCAGTATCTCAGCGCTTGGCCACAGTCGTCTCGGGTCTGCGCGGCGCCCAAGATTCCGACTGCAGACCTGCTCCTTCTCCGCTCTCTCTCTCCGCTCTCTCTCTCTCTCTCTCGCTCTCGCTCTCTCAGCTCTCGGTTGGCTCTCCTCACTACCATCACTAGTCATATCATATACCCACATTTTTTGTGCTGGAACATCATTTCAAAATAAACTCATTAAGGGCGTATGTAAGTTATAAGTTTTAGCTTTTAAACCCTTCTCTTCCAATTTCTATGCATTGATTGCCATTCCCGATAATAATAATCACAACCATAACAACAACAACAACAACAACAATGATAATAACAATAATACGAAACCTTTAATACGCCTTAATCAAATTTGTAAAAGTAAGATTTAGGGGAGCCCACCAACAAGGCCATTGTCTCCATCCATTCAGACCAGCAATGGGATTTCCCGGCAGTTTAGCACAGAAGTCCACTTGCTGCTCACTAAACGTGAAATTGATGCTTAACAGGCCAGAACCCTGGCCAGTAAATTTGAATGTCATTTCCACTTTTGCATATGACCGATATAATTAGTTTTTTCATAATGCTGCGCGCGTGGAAACAGTTGGGATAATGAAAGGCGTGTCGGCCTTCAACCCCGACATATATGATGGAGGCCATAAATAGTCTTCATGCAACATTAAATTAAACTTTGCTAACGCTGGATTGCTCACTCATCCTCACCAGCTTGTTCTGGGCTTCAATCTTGCATTTTTTTCCAGGAGTTCAGGAAATAGATCTAACTGAGATTCTGAAGCCTCCTGTACTTAAAATATTTACGCTTACAGCTGGCCAGGGGAACCCTTACATGCATGTAGCCCAGATGTACTAGGGGAAGGCCCCTCCATCTACTGGAGAGAAATGTTGCAGCAACTTATTTATGTCAGGCACTGAAATACTAAGAAATGAAATGTCTCAGAAGATTATCCTTACAACCGCTGGATAATTGTTGAAATTCTGGAACTGATACTGGTTGCCATGACAGCCTAACATGCTGACATGCTTTTCAAAAAAAGAAACAGCTTAAAAATACACATTTGGACTCTGTAAAGAAGACCGATATGGCCATGTATACGAAAAGCAGAGGGAAAATGGTCCCTCTGGAAGAAGATCACTTGACGTCAGTAACTTCAAATCAGTTCCTCGGCGCATTTGCGCCATTTCCGCGTTTCGCTTGGATTCATCCAAACGCACCGAGGGACAGCTATGATATGGTGTGCAAAATTGTCTGGAGCAAAGCTACCCAGGTGAAACCGGGAAGAGGTCAAAGTTCACTGGAAATCCAAGCTAGTAAAGACGACACTCCTTCAGTCATAATGTCAAGTGACAGGTAGGGTTATCTGTGGCTATACAGGCTATAACTGACCTCTCCATCATAAGCGATGAAACATGCCTTCATATCGCTTATAAACCCATAAGCTATGAAATTAACCTCACTGCGAACCCACTATGTCTCATATCACACTTTATCCAGGTTTAATCAGTCTGTCTATATGAAGCTCAAGCAGCTTCATCATTTTGTTCCTGGGGTGTGCTTTCATCTAATTTAGATGAAATGGGAAGCGGTAGGCTCCTCAGTAATTAGTGCTAACACTGTAATATCTAATATAGGAGATGGCAACAGGTACAGCCAGTATTCTGTGTTTTTGTTTTGTTTTGTAATAATACAGATGGTGAAGTTATAATTTGGAGTTTACAAGCGTCTTTAACATAGTTTATAAGTAGTAACTATTGAAACCCAGCATTCAAATGTTTAATACTTTATTGTTCAGTAGATCAGGTAATTTATGAGTCATTAATAATCATGCTGTATAATAATGATAAAGTTCCCACTGTTGACTCCCTATGATATCAGTGAGAACAGATTCCCTTTATATCAGCATCTCAAAAGTCTGCTGTTTGTGAAGAAGCTCCTCCCATCTACTGTTCAGACCTCGTGTTTAGGAGGAGCAGCCAATCAGAACAAATCTGGTTTGGGGCAGCCCCAGGGTTATTAGGGGTTTCTGTGGCTCAGCTGGTAGAGCAGGTCATCTGCTGGTTTGAAGGTCACTGGCTTGATCCCTGACTCCTCCAGGGAGGAATGTAAGTACCTTTCTACTCAACTGGGTACAAAGTTACTATGTAAGTGCCAGTTCATTTTAGCTCAATGTATTCATTGCACAGAGCAGTTCGACCTCTGACTGAAGCAGCGCTACCATACAATGTTTTCTAGATTAATTGCAATTTTCTTTTTTTTCAAAGAAGAAAAACATGGCCGACCAAGTAACACTATGCAACTGTCTGGCTTTGTTTACGCTGGCAGAAAATTGGTCTTTCCTTTTGGATGAATTCAGTTGTTGCAAGGACGTTTTACTTGGAACATTCAGCAAAAATAATATAATAATGACAAAAAAAAAATGTGGATAAAAAAAGAGATTACAGTGATGGAAACCTCCTGTTGCTTATAATGAACACAGTGCAAGCCTGTGACGGAACTTCCTAATGTGGCAGGTTTCAGCACTTCTGTTAATACTTCAGTCAGACTCAGGATTGTTTCCTTTGTTTCCAGTAGGTTACTGTGGTCTCCAAAAAACTCTGGCATTTTAGTGCTCTCTCTCCACAGCAATGTTTTCTCCCTCTTTTATTGAATACCTCAGCTCAAAACAAGTGTCATTGATTGTTACCGTGGCAACATCAGTCATAGGCTAGAGTTAAAATGGGGATAAAGTGTCTATTTTTGGTAGTTTATTTTAACCTTGACTAATCAAAAAGCAAAATTACGATTGACTGTCTAAACCCACAGGCCAGTCTAAAGTTTCTATTTATATTTTGTGTATTCTATTTAATTAAAATGGCCCACAGGCTCATTTTAGAAATCATAACATTTGTTTTGCCTAAAACAGATAGGGTTATGGGAAAATAAATGGATTAACTGGATGGATGTGGAGTTGTAGCCTCTTTATAACTTATAACCAAGATCCCAAGACTTCATTGGAGATCAGTTGGGCTGCTGTGCGGTCATAAACCCACTGTATAATGTTAATGTACACCATCTGCTCACCCACCGCCCAGAGCTACCATGACGTCTCCGTTATCATAAGCATCCCGGGTCTCACCGGACCGTCTGCTCCGCATCGCAGCTCGACAGTCGACAGGCTGGTGACTAAAGAGTAGCCTCATTAAAAAGTCATGCTTTGAAGCGGGTGATGCATCATACATACAGGTTGGAGCCGTGGACTCTGTGATTCCTTATTTTCTAGGGAAACTGGTTTACCTGTTGGTGAGGGCAGTGAGGTTAGAAGGATCTTATGCAGGGTAACCCCTCCTCCCCCCCCAAAAAAAAACCCAAAACAAAAGCACTGCTTATTTCACCTGGAGGTGAAATAAGCATAAGCATCTTAAAATGCGATGTCAGAAAGCAGAAAATCGGACAGTACCTCCAATTAAGCCCATTTTGGCATGTTCGTGATACAAGTGACCTTTTCTTTATGCATGATCACCACAGTGATTTAGTATGAAAATGAATGTCATTTAATTTATAAACGCCTTCAAAAAGCATGCCTAACACACAATGCATGGGAAACTAAGTGACATCGCTATCAAGCTTTCTCATTTTCTTCACGGGGGAGAAAAAAGAAGGTGCATACAAGACGACATGAGCTGGCTAACCTTGAAGTGGCGGTAATTATCCTGTGATAGCCTGTTACATGCAAAAAGATCTGTTTAACCCTGCCACACACACACACCCTACGTGTCTGTGTTTCTCTTCCTGTCCAGGGCTGAGAAGCAGCAAGAAGACACAGATGATTACACGCACTATGAGGAGGACAAGAAGCAATACCACACTGACTTCACCCTTCCTTGTCCTTATCTCTCGGGCCGCAGACATCACGGCCTATCCAACCCCGCACGGGTGCTGAGCCCTGTGCTGGAAGTGGAGATGAGGCAAATTAAGGAAGAGGCGGGTGGAAAAATAAAGTCGGTGAGGGTTTTTTAATCAAATCTAATAACATCTGCTTTTCTCAGCATGAATAAAAATAGCATTATCCGTATTCGGCTAAAACTCGCTAATTAATGCAAGCAGTATTTTCCATTGTTTTTGATTTCGCAGTCCTGTCGGGAGAGGGATGTGCAAGATAAACAAAGGAGTGTTGAAAACTCTCTTCAGAAGATGCAGGTCTCTCAATCCAGCAGAACAGGCACACAGAGCTCAGTACCTGCACCTCAACATCTGGTGACAAATCCTGTCTGCTTTGAAGGCCACACCCCACACCTGCCAGACAGAGAAGGTTCTCTACACCCTTCTAAACTACCCGGGGATGAATGTGGAAGCAAGAAAGAGCAGAATGCAAGTAGGGGCTCAGACAGCTACTCTAGTGATGAGAGTGATGCTGTTAGTCTACCGGGGGTGCAAAGTTGTGCCAGCGACAGCAGCAATAATGACTCAGTGGTTAGTGCAAAAGTGGTGAAGAAAAAGGAAATTCCAAGCTCATCTGTTGAGCTAAGCTGCGACAATGAGCAGGATTCCTTTTTTACAGCTGATGAAGACTTTCCTGCTCTCACCACCATCAACGCTGGCATTCCGCTATCTCTCACAGGGCCTCCAGCCTTGGGGAAGATAAAAAGCCAGTGGGAGATTCCCCTTTCATTCCACCCACATGACATACCCACTGTCACGTTGGCAAGTGGCGTGAATGACCCTGTGCAGGCTCCCATCCAAGGCAAACCAGAAGCACCTGAGGCAAACTCAAAAACCAAAGCACCTCTTCCAGTGCAGGAAGAGGCTTATGACCTCTTGGCTGACTTCCCAGCCCTCCAACCCCCAAAGAACCCTTTAGCGCTTGGTGGATTGCGTCAGAGGAATCCCAAGACCAACGATGCAAAGGGGAAAGGAGTTCTCATTTCTACTCCAAGCCACTGCCAAAGCTGTAGGGGTTCCCATGAGAGGAGATTGGAAAATTCGCCCCACGAGGTCTCCTCCATCTGTGCAGGAGATCAGAAATCTGTGCTGGACCTTCAAACATTTGGCACAGTCCGCCATCGCAACTCTCCCACCATCAGCTGTGAGCAACGGAAGGCCAACAAGCAGCCGCCGCCTAGAGGTAATAAATCTGCCATGTGTCTCTATGCCGTTAACATGCCTCTCCTTCTATCAGGCAGTATAAATAATCTGGTGCTGACAAATATAACTTTATGTCACTCTTAAAGCTTTCTGGAGCTAGAAATACTCTCACATTATCTCTTTCTGACAATGCATTATTAATATTAGAGACACCTTCGTACTTGGGTAATTAAAGACAGGAGAGGAGGAGCAGCAGCAGCCTGTCCCAGGCAGAAACTCTAGCTTGTCAAAGAGTCCAGCTCTCAGACTGCTACATTTTTTTTTCTCCTCGGTTATTTTTGAAGCCCATTTAACGGAGCACTTTTGTTTCTGCCACGAAGCAGGTGGCTTTACTACTTTGTTTTCTGTCCTTGAGTTCTACTTACTGATAGAAAAATAGCCAGATGAAACATCAAAGCAACTTTACCAATCACAGGGCAGCGCTTTGCCACCTTTAATCCTCAACAAACACCCAGATGTGCGCACAAACTCACAGACACATCCGCGCTTGCAAACATTGCAAACATGTCTCTGTGTAGGTGTTAACACACTGTGATTCTGCATTGCTGTTGCTGAGAAGTACTTGCTCACTTGGGTGACTCAGTGGGAAAATGTTCTTTTAATGAGGGGATTATTTTGCAGTGGCAAAGTGAATTACACGGTGAGCCTTCCTGTTGGTGCAGAACATAGCACAGATATAAGTACACATGCATAAGTACATGTTCATTTTAAGTAGAGAGTATGCCTTGTACAGTGGATACAGTACCTCAAGGAACTTTGTGCTGGAGAAGTCGTTCCTTTCCTATTCCAGCTATATTTATATATCGTATGGAACAGTATAATCTATTTGGTCTTGTTTGATTTCCCCTCGCCTTTTTAACAGGTGCAGAGCTGTAACTGAAGGCGGCTCTGCTTTGCTCAGTAAATGTGCATATGTGATATACACACTGCTAGCCCTCCTCCAGCAGTTCGCAGCCAGCGCTGATATGATAGAATATACTCTCTGATAGCATGGCCCTGTTGATTCAATAGCACTTTGTCGATCCCCAGAGGGGGAGACTGCAGAAAATCTGTGGGGTTTTTTTGCAGCTGAGAAGAACACAGTTCTTTTTAGGCTTACCTATGGTACAGGCCAGACAGGACACAATGCATGCAAAATGCCCATAGCAGTAATCCGCGTTCCCTTGCTGTTCATATTGCAGTTGCAGGTGCAGATGGCGTGGGTGTCAGTGCCAGGTCCTGGGCTAATGCTGCCAAGGCAGGCATGAAGCAAGCAGCTGCCCCTCAGGAGAAAGCCAGACCTGCTACCTTTCAGCAGATAGTTACCATTAACAAAGCCAAAGGTAAACTTATATCTTGGCATCTGCAGGTAATGTGTGCTTGTGTGTGTGCGTATATATGTGTTGGATGACACATTCAGAGGGCATCGGATATTACGTTTCACTGTGGGCCCACATGAAGAATTCATCATGATCATTCCCGATCCCTTATTTTGCAGTGCTCTCAATGCTAAATGCTACAGAATGCCATTTTGTCCTTTACTCTGCTGCACCTCAAAGATCAAGCGTTTAGAGTTTTCATACATCCATATATCATTGTCAAATTAATTGTGATATTTTGGCATAATTACTGGATGCAAATGAGGCTGAAGTTGAAATGGCTGCTGCTCCATCTTGCACCATTGTTACTGTTTGTGACATCAATTAAAAATTGCCTTTTATCAAGCTCGACGTTGAACGCTGGCAGGTCTCTGGCACTGAGGTGGTCTGATATCGATATAAATAATAAAGTGGTGGTTTAACAACACGCACGTATCTTTCTGGTTCCAAAGCAGATATTGAACAGAAATTTCATTAATCCATCTGTTTTCTGCCTCAGATCAAATTCTGCAAGTCAGATGTGGTTTTAAGAGGATCAAATTTGTATGTATGACTGGAATATGTTAAAACTTTGCTTTTAAATGTGATTAATTATCAAACTTGTCTTGATGAAATTATGATTTAGATTAGGCATGTATCTGCACATTTGGTCAATGAAATTATGTTTCTAAATTTCCCTGAAAAGAAAAAGAAAATCTGGGTATATCAGCAACTAAACTGAATGTTTCAGCCAGCTTCCTCTCCAGAGAAGCTGCTTCTGTGATTCTGTGTGTTTGCACTTACAGTTTAAATGCGGAGGAGCACACGCAGTTGTTTTCTGTATAAATTCAAATCTTTGGCACGCCTGTTTGGATGTGTTGCAGCAGAAGATGCATTAACAAGATGTTTAAACGACAGAGTGATGTAACCACTGCAGAAACTTTGCAAGGCAGTGGAGCTGAAAAATCAACAGTCTTCATGCTTTAGCTAAAAGTCTGTAAATAGTGTTTGAGTGATAAAAATGAATATTATTGATGCTACTTTTGTGCTATCAAAGTAAGACCCCCAAAGGGTATGTATACATGGGACATATCATATTTGAAATTTATGTAAACTAAAAAATACTATAATTTTCCTGGGATTCACTAATGTAAAAACTGTTTGTTTGTTTTTTTAAATTAAGAAAGTAGGTTCAGTATAGAAGCTTCCAGCATTCTCAATCTTACCTAGTTGTCCTTCATTTTTTTTGCTTTTAAAGCTGAATATGGTGCTACTCCAAAAATCAACAAGAAAGCAACAGTTTTCCATCCAGGATCAAATCAGAAGGTGATAACCTTGAAACAGTGCTGCTTTCACCCCTGCAACCAAATCCACTTTGTCAGATTTTGCAACCCTCCTGGCTATCAGGTGAGTGTACTAAACAGTTACTTCTCTACATTAGGGCTGTGCGATATGACCAAAATCTCATATCCCGATATGAATTCTGTAAATTCTGTGAATCTCGAGCAGCTCGACTTGCGTGAAGTGTTTCCAGCTGGGTGTCGTGTACCTGGAGTCGAGTAACGATATATTTTTAGACATAAGTTGTAACGGACGCTGTTTTCTTTGTGAGCATTTATTACACAGCGTGCTGCGGGCAAAAGCCTGTTCTAACATTGGAGTCTAAGGTTTATTTTTTAGCACCCGACGGCTCTTTTTTTTTTGCTTCTGATCCGTAAACACTCTGCATCTTTCACGTGATTCAGTTTATTTTGAAAAGTCTCAACAGGATCTTGAGCTTTATTGTGAAAGGTTTATGTGGAAAATAAACAAGCGGACACGCGATGCTGTTACCATTGTTGTTGCTAACAACGCATAAAAACAGGCGCTTGTCCATCCGTAGTGTGGTTATATTAAATATAAGAGAAAGAGAGAACTTTAAGAAATTAATACAGCCACTACTGTCACCATCAAAGCGATGAAAAAAATATTGCCGCAAACAGTTTGCGACACCACGAAACAAACGATAGCATAAAATGAAACGATAGACGTTTTTATATCGTCATCTGATATATATTGTTATATCGAACAGCCCTACTCTACATATATTTTGTTTTATTTGTGTTCAAGAGTGAGTTGTAGGGGTTGTACATGCGTGATTATTTTTTTAAAAACAGTATTTTTAAGTGTGCTCAGAGGCCCTTGGCTTTGTTCACCTGTAACCTCATTAAAGTCTTTTGACATTATGATCTCGATTGCTAATTTTGAGTCTTACTAAATACAGCCTGGTGTTAACTTTGTAAAGAAGAACAAGATAGAATAAAGTATTTGGGCAATATGAATATGCAATGTCTGTTGGCTTCAAGAAATGAAATAGTGACATCACAGTGGGCCTGTCCATCTTTTAAGTACAGTCTATGTTTAAACTATGGTCAGTCCAATAATGTTGCCAGCTTACAGCATTACCTAAGAGATAGAAACAGCACAGGCAATGACTTTACCGTCCAACCTTTGTCATGCTGAAGTATCTCATACCTAAGGAAAAAAGCTGTTATCATTTCAGCTACATCTGTTTTTACACCTACTTTCACTATATACTTGCAGAGTGGGCGGGTTCTGACAGACTAGTGTTGTTCAAACCAAATACAGCAAGTTGTGCAGTTACCTGACAGAAGCATCACATTCGGTCACGACTGTCACTCTTGCTGCTCTTCCCGGAGGAGCCACTGTGACTGAAGCACTGGCGATATAAAGAAAATGACTAGACATTATTATGTGACTGTTGTGATCCTGTGGTGTATCCTGAGTAATTACTTTTAGACAGCTGGTGGTATGATGCATACAGCAGGAATGTCCAGGAGAGCCTGTTTTACCTGAAATGAAGGTCCATGCTGCTAGTGACTGAATTGGGTTACCCATTCTTTTATTTTGGTGAATTTTGGATCTTTAAAACATTGCACTGAAGAAAAAGGACCCAGATCTCAGCCTGGCTAAACACCTATGGGTGATTTTTAGTATGTCAGCACCCTCCAGCACCATCATTAAACACCAAATGAATGCATATGCTTTAATGGAGAGATCCTCCATCCATGAAGCTGTTTGGGTATGAAGCTGTTTTGGCAGCTCCTTTCTAAGACATCCAAGACTCCTTAATCTTCCTTTTGTCTTGATTCAGAAAAGAGTTAGCAGTGTGAGTAAAGCGAGAAGAAAAAAAAGTTTCTTCTCTCCATTAAAAACAGAACACCACATTTTTATATCTTCACCTCTTTCTCACTCTGCCCTTTTTAGTCTCTGACCTATTTAAATTTGGGCTGCACTTTCTTTTAGCGTGTGCGATGGTGACAGTGACAGCAAGGCTTGCTGCACTCTAAGGTTTGCCCCTTTGGCCTAAGCACTACCAATCCAGCAGGATAATTACTAAAGCTGCAATGCACATTCCCCCTGGGTGGAAGTGGCAATGTGAAGGTCTCTTGATGTCTACTGAGAAATGAATTGCAAGGCGACGAGCCTGGGCAAGGGAGAGAGACTGGAGATGGAGAAACTGTAAAATGTGTGATGCTGATGGAGAGAGACATTATGAAAGTTTTATTTTTGGCAGCAAAACAGCTGATGCTGAGATTTAAGTAAATGTTTATAGATGGCGTGAAAACGTTATGAGTGCTATCTTAGACACTGACATATCTTCAAATCTTTCAGTCTGTCTTTGTCAGTGTTTTGCTCTCAGACATGTAGAGGTCTAACTCATGTGCCAGCTCTCCTTCTGATGCTCTCCATAACCTAAATATTCTGCTATAAAAGTTTCACAGGACAGAAAGAAAGGCTAGAATCTGGAAAGGAATATCTAAAAAGACCTTGTTCTATCTCTCCATCCTTGATGCTTCCCCTTGGTAGACTGTATGGATGAGAATATTCTGTAATATTCTGTAATATTCTGTAATATTCTGTATACTAATATACTAACTACTTTCTGAAAACCTCAAGGTCACTTAACTAGGTCATTAACTAGGTCATATATATATATATATATATATATATATATATATATATATACTAGGGGTGCAACGATATTCGTATCGATATTGAACCGTTCGATACAGTGCTTTCGGTTCGGACAATACAACATTTGTAATTTATTTTATCAATTTTCCTTCTGACGATGCTGTCTGTGTTGAGCGCTCAGTGAATCTGCATTCGACTACTCCGCCTAGGCTCGACAGTGCAGCCTAGGCGGAGTAGTCGAACACAGATTCACTGAGCGCTCAACACAGACAGCATCGTCAGAAGGAAGAGCGCAGGGCAAGCTAGCGAGACAGAAGTTAAGCTCTCCTTGTAACAGGCAAATTGAACCTCATTCAGATCTGGCGTTTGGAATTATTTTGGTTTTCATGTGACGTATGACCCTGAAGGTAAGCGAGTCATGGACTAAAGTAAAACAGTATGTTGGATGTGCCATGCAATGCTCAATTACATTGGTGTGAACTAGTGTGTTAGCGCAGTTAGCTCGTTAACGTGTTGGCCGTCTAGCCCCATGCACGGAGCGATCGGCGGTAGCTCGTTAACGGAGATTTGCCGTGTTGTGGCGTTAAGGTCATTTCAACGAGATTAACCTGAAAGCACTAGCGGGAACACAACGAATATGACTGCACATTTACGCCGACATCATCCTAGTGCAAAGACAAAAACAACAAGCATGCTACTAACTTTAGCCGAGTCATTTAGACAGCTGTTAGCACGTGATTCTCCTTATGCTGCTGAGAATATAGCCCAGAAGAAGCGGATAGTATAGCTTTTATTTTGGAAAGAGCCATTTCTCTGTAATAAACTCTCTTTTCCAAAGATGAGTGATTCCTCAATCAGATACAGGGCTCGCAATATCGCTAGCCCGACGTCCCGGAGCTAGCGATTTTTTCAGTCGGGCTACCAAAATCTATCTCTTCCCTGCCCGTCGGGCTATTGTAGGAAAATATATGTCAAGCTTTTGCATTCTTTCAGAAATGTAGCTGGGTAATTATGTCATTGGCATCGGTGAGCCACTGTCAATATGTGACATATTGAAGTCGCGTTCGAATTTGCGCTTGTTTTTTTGCTTTCACTTTGCAATCGTGCGAACTGTGTATAGTTCGCACGATTGAAAAAATCGCTAGCTCCGGGACGTCGGGCTAGCGATATTGCGAGCCCTGTATCTGATTGAGGAATCACTCATCTTTGGAAAAGAGAGTTTATTACAGAGAAATGGCTCTTTCCAAAATAAAAGCTATACTATCCGCTTCTTCTGGGCTATATTCTCAGCAGCATAAGGAGAATCATGTGCTAACAGCTGTCTAAATGACTCGGCTAAAGTTAGTAGCATGCTTGTTGTTTTTGTCTTTGCACTAGGATGATGTCGGCGTAAATGTGCAGTCATATTCGTTGTGTTCCCACTAGTGCTTTCAGGTTAATCTCGTTGAAATGACCTTAACGCCACAACACGGCAAATCTCCGTTAACGAGCTACCGCCGATCGCTCCGTGCATGGGGCTAGACGGCAAACACGTTAACGAGCTAACTGCGCTAACACACTAGTTCACACCAATGTAATTGAGCATTGCATGGCACATCCAACATACTGTTTTACTTTAGTCCATGACTCGCTTACCTTCAGGGTCATACGTCACATGAAAACCAAAATAATTCCAAACGCCAGATCTGAATGAGGTTCAATTTGCCTGTTGCAAGTAGAGCTTAACTTCTGTCTCGCTAGCTTGCCCTGCTCTCTTCCTTCTGACTATGCTGTCTGTGTTGAGCGCTCAGTGGATCTGCGCTCGACAGTGCAGCCTAGGCGGAGTAGTCGAACACAGATTCACTGAGCGCTCAACACAGACAGCATCGTCAGAAGGAAACTTGATAAAATAAATTACAAATGTTGTATTGTTCGATACATATGCGTACCGAACCGAAAGCACTGTATCGAACGGTTCAATATCGATACGAATATCGTTGCACCCCTAATATATATATTTATATATATATATATATATATATATATATATATATGCCTGCAATATGAAGTGTTTCTAACTCTCAGCCTTTCAATAGGTCACTCGAGCCACTGTTAAGCATTGATTTAACCCTTTTCTGTCTCAAGAATTGAATTCATGATCCATTAGATACTACCTCAAAGAAAGAGCAATTAAGTTAAGCTCCTCTCATTGCACTAGGGAGTTGGCATACCTGAGCTAGTATTTGGGTGCCATGGCTTCAAATTTAAGACTGAAAAACCAAACAGAATCACAAACTGACAGTTAAAAATGTTCCACACTTGGCAGACACACAAAAAGAAACGAGTGGCCAAATTGTTCCATTTAGCAGCCTGATGGATTGGCTTTTGAAAATGGAGGATTTTCAGAAACACGGCACATTCGGGGAGCAGTGAGGAGGAAGGAGGGATGGCTTCAGCACCCCTCAGCCTGTGTGGTGTAATAGTGGCGGAGCCGTAGGCTGAAGTTTTCGCTCTCGCGTTCTTCTGTCTTCGTCCACCTAACAAGCCCGTCTTGAAGCTGTTGCTAGGCTACACTGGTCCGTTGTTATCCTCCGGCTGGTGGCATTTTCAGTCTTCATGTCTGCGTGTTCGTATCGGTGTGTGCGAGTGTATGTTTGATATCCTTAATGCAGAAAAAGACGGAAAGGCAAAGTGCAAAATGAAGGACAAGGAATATGATTAGAAGTTTGACCCTGAAGATCCACGAATTACATTAGTGCTTTGTGTGTTTAGCGGCATATCCAATTGATCAGAGTGGTATGATTACTACCTCTGATCATTAGTTAGATTAGTGAAGTTTAAGTGTCCTAATCACCCTGCAGTAAGGTAAGCACTAGATTGAAAAAAAATTAAGAATCTGTGTGCTTTCGTAATAGCAAATTTTGAGGTTTAATCAAAAATTTTAAGGCAAGTCTGTATACATATGTGCTCAAAACAGCCCCTAAGTTATCTGCAAGGTAATTATAGTAAACTAAAACTTAACAAAAAACAAAAACTACATGTAAAAAAGTTTAGTTAACTAAAACTAACTGAAACTGTTTTTGAACAGTTTCAAATAAAATAAAATAAAATAAAATGAAAGATAGAGGCACTTTCCTTAGTTTTAGATTTTTAGTGTGGTAAAATCCTTTCTAAAACTCGCCTTATTAGCATAATTTAACAGACAAAATTATTGAGACTTAAATCTTTACAAGACTGCTTTCATCTGCTTTCAAAAAGTTCTCTTTTTGTATTGTAATACCTGTACTGATTTCCCGAATCTTGCATATGGCATATGCCCTAATAATAACTAATGATTAAATGCAGAGTGTTGCATAAACACACAGGGAGTGAAAAGAGGTGTTTGTAGAAGAAACACTGCATCACGGGAAGTCCACAGTAGCCTAGGCCTATTGCAGCACACCTAAAGAAGGCTTTAGGGCCTCCTGATCTACCCAAAAGGTAACCAGTAAAGCTTTCAAAGAATATGGGATGCTTGGAACAGTTTTCTCTTGTACGTCGAGCAGAAGACGCCTATAACTTTTAAGAGCTCCACTGATTGGCTGTAGGTCACGAGAGACACAGATGTTTCTGGGTCCATACAGTGTGAACCGTGCTCCGTGTCACCTGTCATGCTAACCCTTGATTTACTCTGAGGTTGCAGAAATTGCAGAACTACAGAAGGATATGGGAATATGATTAGCAGTCGCTCAGACGCATCAGTGAGAATGTGTACAGGGCTGACTGCACCGTCTGCCACTGGGTTTTCTCCATTAGTCATGGAGGAACCTGTGACATCAAACAACATGATGGAAAATCAAGAGGAGTGAAAGGCTGCAGATGGCACTTCCAAGTGACGGGAAATGATGATAGCCATCGGCCATAAAAAAGTGCATCATTGAGAGCCCTGAAGCTAAAATGTATCTCATTGTCCCAAATCCTGGAGATGTTTGCTCGATTCATGCGTCAGCTTACAATGTAGCAGATAATGTTTTGGCTATTGAGTGAGCAGTACAAAAGTCTATCAACTACCCTTATATGCTGAAACCTGACACTGAAGTGTCCCAGTGCCTAGAGTCAAAAAAAGTGAAGCCAAGGGGTCGCACTGCATATAAAGTTTTTAGAGCTCACTCTCTGCTCGTCATTCTGTTTTTGGATCACCACCTCCACCTCCCACCCGCATTCTGACATTATCAAATGGAGGGTAGAACAATGCATGAGCACCCCGCGTTGTAATCCCCAGCCAAAATGCAAATGACAAAGTATTATTATTAGTTTTATCATTATTGCACGGCTTTACGTCATGATAAATTACCTCTTGACTGCAATTGTCAACTGGATCTCTCCTCTAATTAGCTAATTTGCTCATCTACGCGGTGGAAAAGTGACTATGTGATTAATGTGATTTAGAGTCCAGCAAAATATGTAATAAACCTTGATTAATGAAAAATATTATTTAATAAGAATGACTGAACTCGGCACTTTTTTTTCTTTTTTAAATTATGATTGTGCGATAACACGGGCATGGAAAAGCAATAATCACTGATGCCTGAACATCACATAATGTTTTTTATCAATGACACAAAACTATGCGTAAAATTTAAACAGGTCCCAGAAGTGGGTTATATTGTTTATTCTTGTATTTTACCAAATGGAGTACAAACTAACCAGCCCAGGTTTAGTTTGTGTCCCAAGCAAAGCATTCAGGCACATAACCACTTGTCAGGAAACTTATTGCTCTTTACAGTCATGTAATGAGTTGTCTTGTACAGCTGAGTAATCTTACTCCCTTACTCCTCCTGTCTCCTCTTTCCTCTCTCTCTCACACACACACACACACACACACACACACACACACACACACACACACACACACACACACACACACACACGAGTGAAATAAAGTGAAAAGGAGGGCAGCACACCACAGTGCACAAGCACAACACAAGCCTTCGACTTGACTATGTTGTCAAGCAGCTGCTAATGTGTATTCAATATTGATGAACCTTGTTCTTTAGCCTCAGCTCTGACACGTTTGCCCCACCCTGCGAGTTCAAAGGGACTGTCATTATTATGGTGTAATTCCAAGGAAGAAACACACAACATTTGGATACACTGCTTATTTTGGTTCATGTCTTATAAAGTATGATTTGAATTATTGTTTAAAACACACTGGATTTTGCAATATTCTACTTCCTGGCCTCCTTTCAGATTAGCAAATATCAAATATCAAAATATCCAAAATACACATTACTCATATTCATTTTTTTCTACCTTTCTATTGGATGTTTGTACCAATTAGTACGTATTTAATGGTTATAATCTGCAAAACAATGCTTTCCCTAGAAATCAACTGCAGAAAAGACCTGCAGTTGACCTTTTCTGGTCGTTAAAATTATCATTGACATTCAAGAAAATATTTATGCTCAAAATTCTGACTTTAAGTAATCTGATTACATGTAATCTTTTCAGGTAATTTCTTTTTACAAGCTTTTACCAAGCATAATTTCTTTAACTAAAAATAATTTGAATAAATAAACTTTTTAATTACAGTTTTACTGACAATTATTGCAGCAAGTTTATCAGGGCAAACAAACATTAATTTTTTTAGTGTAGTGTAGTATACAATATCCAAAAATCTGCTATTCAAATAAGCACAATTGTTAATAGGTAATGCCTTATTTACACATTTAAACAGTATTTCAGAAAAATACTCACTGAAGAAAGGGTGGCTTTTAATCACAGTAAGAAACTGTTCAGCAAAGCAGTACCCTGTTCTGCTTTCACAATGTTATAGTACTTTTCGGCATTATTCACATTTCTAACATAGTGCAGTGTAGGTGTTTTGTTAGCTTTCTTTATTGAAAAAAACCCCCTCCCCAAAACAATTCGTACAAATTGTTTTCCTGAAAATATTACAGAAATTTGATCTCAGTTTCATTGTGTCTCTGAAATATTACACTCCAACAGTTTTCTGAACTCAAGTCTTTACTTATTTATTGGCTTTGCCAAGGCAAACATGCCTAACATGGTGAGGCTGTTTATCTGTGAAAGAATACCTCAGATCGAGTCCTCATTGACTTTTTTTTTGGCTTTACACCTTGTTAAACACTGATTCCTTCTTTCACATCCTAAGGCATGTTCTTTGATCCTTCCTCTTCCTACATTTTTGCTCTCTCTTCATGCTTCAGTCTGTTGTTTGTATTCTTCTAATTATTTGTTTAATTGTCTGCCTTTTTCCAGCATTTTGGAGTCCAGCCGCATCAAGCCAACTATCCTCCAGGATTCAGTTTTCCTTTCCAACAGGTGAGGCTCCAAACAATCCAATTCTCTGCTGTCCCCAAACCTTTGAGCCAGCTCTAATCTGCATTGCTGAATTTACCTCCAACACGCGAGTGTGTGCATGCCTGCCTCAACTGTGAGTTGGATCTCTATTGAGTCTTTTTTTATTTCGTGAAACTGTCAGCTTGTATTACATATAAAAGTCCTGCCAATGTGAAATAAATATTCCTCAGAGATTAACTAATCTCTTGCAAGAATGAGGCAAAATATAGGTCATATCAGATTCTGATAACGTGCACGTGTCTGTATGAATGTCTTGGGCATGAGCACATTTTGCGTGTATGGTTTGGTGTGTGTATTTGTGTGTAAAACCTGCCTCGCGTTATATAATTGAATATGGGGGGGTTGGGTTTTATTTGTGCGGATGTCACTCCTGATGGATGCTCCTCATAAGACAAGCACAATCAGGGATCATTCCTCATCTTGCCTCCCACTCCTTACCATTACTATCCATCATATTTTATTCACAAATTCAAGACCTTACTCTTTTTCCCCCCTCCTTCACTTTGTTGGCTCTGGTAGATAGTGGTGTCACAGAGAATTTCATGCTGCCACATGTTGTGTCTTTTCTGTCCTGATTGAGAAGGAGGCTGGCCGTCTTTAATAATAAGTCTCATGACCGTTACAAGGCGACGGGTAATGGTGGAGCTGTAGAACAGATGGCTTTTCACTTTGAACCAACACACATATATATACTGTAATTATACACTTTTATGGCTGCATTCTCATTGAAGATCTATTACTGACACAATACGGTTTCATGGTTTTTCACTGGACTGGTGCTCATTTCCTCCACCTAAGTCTCCTGTTATGATTGTAAGTTGTGTGTTGCCACAAGCTCGCTGAGTGGTCTACGTGCTAAAGTTAGCTAAAGAGAGTTATTGTAACTTCTCAACAATTTCAACATCACCCCCTAAGGAATGGCCTCAGGTAAGGTAAGGTGTTATGGACTTTCATAGAAACAGATATCCATGCCTCTGAATTTTAGAACACCCATCATGTGTTCCTGAATATCTGAGGTAGTTTGAGGCATCTTGAAATGCCTTGAGGCCCTGTTTTTTGGCAGTTATTTTGAAGCATCTTATAATGTCTCTGCAAACAAAATAATATATAGGGGTATATATTTTTCAGCCAAATTCTCATTAGTCAGACAATTGCTGGCAGTTCTTTCATATGATGAAATATGCTTCATCAATAGCCTCCCAGGATTAATCCTATTGCAGGAGGAACAGATTGTGAAAAAACAAGGATGTTTTGACACTTGAGCTTGGATTCAAGAGCCTGGCAGCATCAGCTACACTTTGATCAAGCTGGATCGGATCCTGTGCTCTCATCAAAACAGAAAAACCCATATGATAATGAAATGAAAGGAGGAATTTCAGTGTTTTTGCTCTGTAGCTGTAATGCTGGGACCACCTGTCGATATACACTCAACAAAAATATAAACGCAACACCTTTGTTACTGCTCCCATTCCCCATGGGATGGACGTAGAGACCTAAAATTCATTCCAGATACACAATATAACCATCCCTCCCAAACAGTGGTCACAAATCAGTCCAAATGTGTGGTAGTGGGCACATCTGCTATATTGAGATAATCCATCCCACCTCACAGGTGTGCCACATCAGGATGCTGATCTGACATCATGAGTAGTGCACAGGTGTACCTCAGACTGCCCACAACAAAAGGCCACCCTGGAATGTGCAGTTTTGTCTCACAGCAAAATGCCACAGATGCCACAAGCAATGAGGGAGCGTGCAATTGGCATGCTGACAGCAGGAATGTCAACCAGATCTGTCGCCCGTGCATTGAATGTTCATTTCTCAACCATAAGCCGTCTCCACAGGCGTTTCAGAGAATATGGCAGCACATCCATCCGGCCTCACAACCGCAGACCTCGTGTATCCACACCAGCCCAGGACCTCCACATCCAGCAGGTTCACCTCCAAGATCGTCTGAGACCAGCCACCCAGACAGCTGCTGGAACAATTGGTTTGCACAACCAAACAATTTCTGCACAAACTGTCAGAAACCGTCTCAGGGACGCTCAACTGCATGCCCGTCGTCCTCATCGGGGTCTTGACCTGACTCCACACAGACTTGTGTGGGCAAATGCTCACATTCGATGGCGTCTGGCACGTTGGAGAGGTGTGCGCTTCACGGATGAATCATGGTTCACATTGTTCAGGGCAGATGGCAGCTGAGAATGTCCCAGTTCTTGCATGGCCAGCATACTCACCGGACATGTCACCCATTGAGCATGTTCGGGATGTGCTTGACCGGCGTATATGACAGCGTGTACCAGTTCCCACGAATATCCAACAACCTCGCACAGCCATTGAAGTGGAGTGGACCAACATTCCACAGGCCACAATTGACAATCTGATAGACTCCATGCGACGATGTGTTGCACTGCATGAGGCAAATGGTGTTCACACCAGATACTGACCGGTTCTGGGTCCCCAGACCCCCAATAGCGCAAAAAACTGCACATTCCAGGGTGGCCTTTTGTTGTGGGCAGTCTGAGGTACACCTGTGCACTACTCATGATGTCAGATCAGCATCCTGATGTGGCACACCTGTGAGGTGGGATGGATTATCTCAATATGGCAGATGTGCCCACTACCACACATTTGGACTGATTTGTGACCACTGTTTGGGAGGGATGGTTATATTGTGTATCTGGAATGAATTTTAGGTCTCTACGTCCATCCCATGGGGAATGGGAGCAAAAACAAAGGTGTTGCGTTTATATTTTTGTTGAGTGTAGTTCTATCTTGTGAAATTGTTTGAGAATAACCAGGTACTGGAGCCAAGTTGTATAAAGCATAGGGCACCGATTAATTTCTTTTGAGCACATGACTTCATATTGTGAAAATATATGCAGGTTTTATTTAAATAAAGGGAAAAATTCAGAGAAGAAGAAATCTGCATGAATGTGATTTTGGAGATGAAAAATAGTTTGTTGCTGTATCTTACTGACCAAAACTTTACTGAAATGCCGCTTATTCCCCCGTATAGACTAGCTTGCAGCTAGTCTATAGTTTAAATGAAATATCATTTCTCAGTATCATTGGGACACTGACCAAAGAGAACACAGGGCTAATATACACAGAGGGAGCAATCAGGGAATAAGAGACAGGAGGGAAACACAGCTGGGACAAATCAGGGCTGTCGAGACTAAGGAAGCAAAACCAGATGCATTAACATAAGACATGGACCTTCAAAGTAAAACAGGAAACATAACACAGAGACGCAGACTCGACACAGGGATTCAGCAACTATGGAACAGAACAGAAACCAGAAGGCACAACTCTGACAAACTAAACACAAGGACCCAGAGATCAAAAACAGAAAACACTGGAGCCCAGCAAACAAGTCAAAACAACCAAACAAACAAAAAAAAGGTTCACAAAAGGCGCAGGCGGCCAGGAAAACCGCTCCGAAAAAAGTTCAGGGGGCTGGCCCGGAAGCTGACGGCACAACACTCCAAAATCAATGGTGGCAACAAAGACAAAGGAGATGATGTCCAGCCAACACCCTGGAAAGTGGCCGGACAGGACGAGGACGTGGAGGCCGGACAGGATGAGGACGTGCAGGCAGGACGAGGACGTGCAGGCCGGACAGGACGAGGACGTGGAGGCCGGACAGGATGAGGACGTGCAGGCAGGACGAGGACGTGCAGGCCGGACAGGACGAGGACGTGGAGGCCGGACAGGATGAGGTGGCGCTGAGACCTCTGGTGCAGACGAAGCAGAACCAGCCCGTGCGGAGGCCTTAGGCAGAGACGAAACAGGACGGGGTGAGGCAGGACCAGATGGCAGCACGCCAACCGCAGGCGACAGAATTGGTGGTGGCACTGCAGGTGGCAGTGTGGAAACTGCAGGAGGTGGCTCTGCAGGCAACGGTGTGGGAGGAGCAGGTAGTGGCGCTGCAGGCGACGAAGACTGGATGGGCCCCTCGGACCCTCCAGCGGAGGCAGGTTGCTGGACCGGTCCCTCGGACCCTCCAGCGGAGACAGAAGGCTGGACGGGCCCCTTGGACCCTCAGCCTGGACGGAGGATGGCTGGCGCAGTTCTCCAGAACCGCCAGCGGGAACAACAGACTGCTGGACGGGCCCGTCGGACCCTCCAGCAGGAACAGGTGGCTGGACAGGCCCCTCGGACCCTCCAGTGGAGACAGAAGGCTGGACGGGCTCCTCGGACCCTTCAGCGTGGACGGAAGACGGCTGGAGCGCTTCTCCAGAACCCCCAGCGGGAACAACAGACAAAGGCCGGACGGGCCCTTCGGACCCTCCAGCAGGAGCAGGTGGCAGAACAGATGACTAAGGAGAGGAGTGGCGGTGGCAAGGGCACAGTTTCCTTCGGGATGAGGGAACAGGAACCGGTGGAGAAATGGAGACCTCATCCTCTGACCACATAGCGGCCAGGAAAAAGGCAGGAAAACGAGGTCCTGGCTGGCGTGGGGAGGGAGAGGAAGTCCGTGGCAGCGTTGAGGCAGGTAGAGAGTGTGTGTTGTCCTGGGGCAGCGGTAAAGAAGTGGAGGTGGAGATAGAGAGAGCAAGCTTGCCAACCCTCATTTGCTCCCTCCAGGCAGCTATAGAGCTGCCCAGCACAGTGTCTGTAGAAAACTAGCATCTACTGCACTTAGCCCAACCGCCATGGTCCTCATCATCCTAGTTTTCTTTCAAGCATGTCTGAGGACCGTGAATATATTTTGTTGGAGTTGGAGCAGAAGTTATGTGGACTTTCTGTGGAAGAACTGCTCAGGGTATGTGAACTATGTAATATTACAGAAAAGCACAACAAAGAAATACAAAGCAAATCTCGCAGAGCTCTCGTTAAGCTTATTAGCCAGTTCTGTGAACGAGAAGAATTTTTCCAACGAGAGCATAAAGGCATGTCGGTGCTTCTGGAGCTAAATGATGTGCTGGCTTTGCTGGTGGAGGCACGGTCAGTGGCTG